CGATCACAGGCTCTTCCACACACTTCCTCCCCAGCCGGGCATGCCTCAGATGTGGGGGACTCCGCTCTCCGCGTCCATGGCGACAGCACCTGGCACGGAGCGGGGCCTCCCGATAAATGTTTCTGTCCGCGTCAAATGAGCGCTTTCTGGGGAGCTGACGACGCACGGGGAAGAGTTGGCGGCAGGTGTCACAAAGAATAACCACATCAGCCAGCCAGCTCTCCGAGTCTGCTTCCTGTGCCCGTGGGGGGGAGGGGCTTACGCTCCCCAGAAAGCCCAAACGAGGGGGAGAGAGAAGGAGGAGAGCATGTTCTTTCATCTCTTGGGCACCCAGTCTCCCTCTCTCTTTCACCCCATGGCCCCCAGGCCTGGCTCCCTGTGCCACTGCTGACATGGCAGCCCGCCTGCTCTTACCTTCAGATCAGACACGTCCCTGTAGCACTGCTCAGAGCGGGTGTGGTCGGACAACTGCACGTTCCAGAAGCAGGGCAGCTGGTACACCAGGAAGGGGTTTTGCTTGATGACAGCATTGAAGATATCCTGGGGGAGGCAAGCCCAGGTCAGGGTCAACACAGCCAGGAGGGTCCAGCTCACACGGTGGGCTCTCAAGGCCCCTACGGCTGCTCCTGTGTGGTGACAGGTGGCCTGCACTTCAGACTGGGTCCATGCTGCCCCCTTTATCTCCAGGAGCCAAGCCATCACATTGGGTGAGAGAGATGGGGAGTGCCCAGGGCGCATGAGTCTTGCTGGTCTCTGAGGACAACAGCAACAGAGTTCAAGTGGGGGCGTCTCTCCTACCCTGGACAGCACTTGATTAATGATGTATCCATTCCACCTGCTCTCCCCACCTTTTGGCAGAGCCCTGTGTCCTCCAGCCCGAGCCTCCTGGCTGCATTCAGACAAGCTGTTTCCTTATTCGGGAGGCTGAGACAAATGGCAGCACCGTTTGGGACTTTCTGTGGGCCCCGTGGTGGATGCCCAGAAGACGCACACCCCATTTCAAAAGCTAACTCTAGACTGTCTGGGGAGGCGCTACCTCTCATGGGCTCTTCTCCAAGATCCAGCACTGGGCCACACTTCTTAGCCAGCAGCTGACAGGTGGTGCTGCCAGGTGACTGATGGGCTGGCATGGCGGGAGATGGCTGAATCAACTGTCCTCACTGGACGGGAACATGCAATTGCTAGCTTTTGGGGACACGCTGGAGTCATTGTGACCTGACTTAAAATATGATGATGGTGGGCGATTTTCCCCTTTGGTTTAATCCAGGTACCTGAGTTGAGGGTTGGAGTGTGTGTGTTGGCTGGATTATTTTTCAACTTATTCATTATACATTGGCTCCTGTTTGAAGAAAGGAAATTAGTTTCAAGCTGCTTGGGAAATGCTGAATAATAACAATGCCAAGGAAAATGGCAAAGCAGCCCATCAGAGTGCTGCTTGCTCCTTCTGTCTGGGCAACAATGACAAGTTTACAGGAGTTGGATAAATCCAGCAACTGAGCCTTGAGCAAAGGCACGGAAAGTGGGTTCAGGCCTTGAAGAGAGGGGGGGGGAAAGCAAACAAACAAACAGAACTCAGAGAAGCTGCGTTATGTATTTTGGGGAAAGACAGACACACCACCACCACCATCACCCCCCAGAGAAAATGCCTTTCATTCCAAGATCTCGGGCTTCCCCACAGGCAGGTCAAGACCCGGACGAGTCATCCTGGCAGATTCAAAGCCCGAGACGCAGGGCCCCTGCCATGCCACCCGCAGATTACGAGCTTAATACATTTTTGTTCTGAGCTTGGGTCAAGGTCAAGGTTGTTTTTCAGAGAGCTTTGGGTAAAAAGGTGGTTTCTCTAGCCAAGAAGTTTATTTATTTAAAGGCGATTTCCCTTGAGTATCAGATCTTCTAGGAGCCCTGGTGTCGTGGTGGTTACACATTGGGCTGCGAACCACAAGGTCAGCAGTTCAGAACCACCAGCTGTTCCTCAGGAGGAAGACGGGGCTTTCTACCCTCATGAGCAGTGACAGTGTTGGAAACCCGCAGGGCCAGTTCTACCCTGTCCTACAGGCTTGCTCTGAGTTGGTGCTGACTCCAGGGTCGTGAGGGAGTGACAGGCTCTTTGGGATGGGGCCTGAGTAAAAGGCTTTGCCTAAAAATCAGACTACCGCCAGACAGGCAAATGGAATCCTATCAGGTCAACAGGCTGTGACCTTGGGGATTGCAGGGAGCCGGCATTCAAACACCTTCCCCACTTGCCAGTAAGGGCTACAGCCCCTGCTTAATCTACCAGACTATCATCTACAGGCCCTGGATCGCAAAGGAGCCCCGCTCTTACCTGTCTTTAAATCAAAAATAAACTGTGGGTACAAGCTCCAATCCTGCCTGTTAGATAGACCTGCCTTCCACTCTTCATCCTACCGTTTCACACTAATGGCGCCATCGAGTTGGCTGGAGGCCTGTGGTGACCTCATGGCGGTGCAGTGAACCGCATCATCCCCACAACAGCTGCAGAAAGAACTCTGGTGATGACCAGTGTTTTCACTGGCTGGGAGGGCACCCCCAGGCCTATCTTCCTGGACCATCTCAGCCTGGCAGGGCTGCTGAACGCAGTACAGCAGCACTGTGGCCATACGCCAGGTGCCACTGGCAGGCTCCAAGCGCATTGGCTGGGACTCAAACCTGAGGCTCCTGCTTGGACCCCAGTCCACTGCACGTGGGGTATTCTAACATACCCCTTAACTCTGGCCTCCGCCTTGTGATCACTTGGACCGGTGGAACAGGACCAAGGACGTCTCAAGTGCTCTTCTTGGGCAGTAGGCTTTCCATGGTAGTTTGTCTCACCGTGAGAACATGCCGGCTGGCCTGGGGGG